TCCCCTTCTCAATCCAGACTTCACTCTCCGAGCACCGTCAGAAGCAGAAACTACAGGCGCACATACAGCAGCAGTGGAGTCAGCAGACGACTGGGTGGTGGTGCTGGGCAAGCGGCCAGGAGCAGGCACAGCACAGGAGCTAGCAGACCTCCATCTAGCCCTTGTCGAGACCTTCGGCGCGCGCCGCCTGCGCACCGTAGGGGGCTCAGCCGCCCTAGATCTGGTAACAGTGAAGCGCACGTTCAATCGCGCGCGCGTGTTTGTAGCCCCGCACGCCCCTCTGCTGAATCATATGGTGTTCATGCCGCCACGCGCTGTTGTACTGGAGCTACGGCCACAGGGGGCGGATGGGAGCGAGCATGCTGTTTTCCATAGGTTGGCGGATGCGTGTGGGTTGGATTATCACTTGTTGCTGTGTGAGGGGGAGGTGCCTTGGAGAATGGGGCTGGGGAATATGAGCAGGATTGTGGAGGTGTTGAGAGGGATAGTAGAAAGCTTTGGAGAAAGGGATGCTGTAAGATAGTGGATGGGGTGAAATCTAAGTACTGATGGCCCTGCCTATCCAGACGTACTTGTTAGAATACGTGAATGATTACTAGAAGGAGAAACCTAGAACATATACCTGTTGGGTTGTACTCACTAGAAGCACACACCTAGTCTAGCCTATAACTTCTACATAGAACATATGTATAAGTTGACACACCCCCTAGGCTAGATAAGGGGTGGTGCTAAGCAAGAAGCACACAACTCAGGGTGGCACTACTAGTCCAACCACTGAGGCAGGGGTCCGGAAACCAGTCAGCAAGAGTACAAACAAGACTAAAGCAAGCCAGGGCGGCACTACTAGTCCAGCCACTGGAGGTAAGGCCACAAGGCCAGTCAGACAGGTATATAGAGTAGAGAGTACACAATAAAGGCCCTAGCAAATGAGAAGCTACAGGAACAAGACCAAGCTGTACAGAGTGCCGCTGATGATCTTTAGGCGCAAGCGCCTTCGTAAAGATATCAGCTGTGTTGGCACCGGAGGCCAAGTGTATCGGAATTAGAGAAGTGTATGATAGAGTGAGAGTACACACAGATATACCTAAGTCTTGTAACCTCTAAGAGGTGACCCTATACAGTCTATACAAACATGACAAATACACATGTTTGACACACCCCCTAGAGTGCATAGGGGAATGTCCTAAACAAGCAGCTCAGGGCGGCACTACTAGTCCAACCTCTGAGACAAGGGTCTGAGAGACCAGTCAAAAGGAGTACAGACAAGGCAAGAACAAGAGCAGGGCGGCACTACTAGTCCAGCCACTGGGAGAGGACACAAGTCCAGTCTGAGTATACATATAAAGGACAGTACAAAGTCAAGGTCCTAGCAAGTGAGAGGCTACAGGAACTAGACCAAGCTGTACACAGTGCCGCTGATGATCTTTAGGCGCAAGCGCCTTCGTAAAGATATCAGCCGTGTTGGCACCTGAGGCCAAGTGTACTACGGAAGCCTGACGTCGCTGCTGTAGCTCACGCAGGAGGAAGTACCGCAGCTGAATGTGCTTCGCTCTGCCCTCGAGTCGAGGCTCCTGGCACAGGAGGATCATGGCCCTGTTGTCAGCGAACAGGACCGGGGCAGAGCTAGGCCGCTCACCTAAGTCAGTGAGCAAGAAGGTCAGCCAGCATGGCACCAGCGTAGATCTCAGCCTCACAGCTGGACTGCGCAACAGACGAGGAGCGGGTAGCTCTCCACGAGACGGCAGCTGAGCCAAGGCTGAAGTAGTAGCCCTGGGTAGACCTGAGTGTCTCGGCGTCGTCTGCCCACGAAGCGTCTGTGTGTCCAGTAAGGACCACTGGCCTGTGTCCTCCTAGCACTAACCCCATGCCCGATGTACTAGCAAGATAACGCAGAACCCTCTTAGCGGCAGACCAGTGCTGCGGTCGGTGTCTGCCTGTGGCCACAAAGCGAGCCAGGATGCTAAGAGGGTATGCGAGATCTGGGCGAGTGCAAGTCATCAGGTACATGAGGCAACCCACCAGCTCTGCGTAGGGGCCGCTGGGCTCTACCAACTCCTCAGACACTAGAGCGGAGAGTCTGTGGTCTACAGGCAGAGGGGTGGGCTGTGCAGAGGAGAACTGAAGGCTGAACCTCTGAAGGACCTGGCGCACCACGTGTGACTGAGTCAGGGTGATGGTGCGCGATGCTCTGTCCCTGGAGATCTGCAAGCCAAGGTAGCGGCGCAGTTCTCCAAGGTCAGTGCACGTGTGTCTCTTCAGCAGCTCTGCCTTCACGGAGGCCAGTGCGTCCCTGTCTGCTGTGGCAAAGACCAGGTCGTCGACGTAAACAAGGATGTAGAACGGAGTCTGGCCAGCACGAACGAAGAGTGAAGGGTCTGCGGAAGACGGAAAGAACAGCAGGTCAGCAAGCGTAGCACGGAGAGTGTCGTGCCACTCACGGGGAGCCTGTCGCAGGCCGTAGACGGGGCGCCGCAGGAGCCACTGGGTCCTAGGAGGGAAGGTGCCAGTAAATCCCTGAGGGCGACGCAAGTAGACCTGCTCGTGTAGGCTGCCCTGAAGGAAGGCAGTGGAGAAGCTCGAGGGAGTGAAGCTCGTAGTCACGCTGAGCAGCTAGGTGTAACAGAACCCGAAGAGTAGTCATCTTCGGGGTCGGAGCGAAGGTCTGGAAGAAGTCCACCCCCTCGCGCTGACTGAAGCCTCTAGCCACATAGCGCGCCTTGAACACAGGCGGCTCTCCAGGAGGGCGCTTCACCTTGAAGAGCCAGCGGCCATCGACTACGTTCACCCCAGGCGGGGGAACTGCGTCGACGAAGGTGCCGGTGGATCTCCAAGATGCCATCTCCTGCTCCATGGCAGCTATCCACTGTGAGGCCCAGGGTCCCGAAGTGGCCTCAGCGTTAGTGCGAGGGGTCGGGATGTCGAAAGCGTCTGGGTCACCCTCAGGGACTAGCAGCATGGAACAGAGATGGGGAGCAGCCTCGGAGAGGAAAGCAAGCTCGAACTGGCGGTCCTCCAGGACGTCACTGCCAAGAGCACGAGCACCCCCGACAAATGGAGGACAGGCAGGGTCAGAGACCAGAGCTGTCGCGTAGTCAAGGCGGCGGGTAGAGGCGAAGTCAGTGACAGCAGCGACAAGAGCGTCAAGGCACGAGACCGGAACAGACGGGTCGGTAACGAGAGAGGCAAGGACCCGAGGAACAAGGGGGCGAGCGACACGAAGGTAGTCAGACAGCGGGGGGGGTGCAACAACAAGGGAGGACGGAGGAGGCGACGGCAGAAGAGGAGGACGAGACGCGTGGGAACGAAGCAACATAGGGTGGGAGCGCAAGACAGGCGAGGCAGGACGAGCACGGGAGGGACGGTGAGACCAGACGTGCGACGGAGGAGCCGGGTCAGGAGACAGGGGAGGGGACACAGGAGGGGAACGATGGGGGAGACAGGCCGGGGACGAGTCCGGCAGAGGGAAAACAGGGCCGTAGACATGAAGAAGAGGAGACGGTCGGGGAGGAACAGACGCAGGGTAGGGGGACGGAAGGCCGAGCAGGCGAAGGGCTGACACCGGCGGGGACTGCTGCTGCGGCGGCGCAACGGCGACACCTGGACCGCAAGCTGCTCCTCGGCTACCACCGGCACTCTCCACACCAGCACCCCCAGAGGGGCCACCCCCAGGGCGACCGGGACGAGCACCCCCAGAGTCAGCGAACGGGGGCTGCGACGGCGGCGGCGGCGGCGGCGGCAGCGACAACGACGGCTGCAGCGGCGGCAGGGGCGGTGGAGGAGGGGACTGGGGAGGGGACGCCCGGGGAGGGGCGGCCGGCGAGGACTGCACAGGAGGGCCACCAGAGTCAGAGGACTCCTCAACCGGGTCCGCCGACGGAAGGGGGGTGACGTGGGACACACCAGAGGGGGCGGGACGGGGAGGAGGAGGAGGGGCAGGGACAACCGGGGAAGGAGTGACCAGGAACAGGGGGGGGGGTAACCGGGGGACCACGGTGGGGGAAGCGACGGTAGTAGGAAACGGACTCGTCAAAGGTGATGTCGCGAGAGTGAAAGAAGCGGTGAGACGGCGGGTGGTAAAAGTGCCAGTCGGACGCGTCAAGGGGAAAACCGAGGAAGACGTAGGGAAGGGTGCGGGCAGTGAGCTTGTCCGTGCCGGAGGCACGAACGTGAGCAAGGCAGCCCCAGACGTGGAACGCAAACGCGTCACCAGGAGACCCAGTCCAAAGACGGGTCGGCGAAACCTGCGGCTGCTGAGGGTGCGGCCACAAGTTACGCTGGTGAGAAGCGTAGCGCACAGCGAACGGCCACAGAAAATGGGGTGCACCGGCATGGATCATGGAGGTGCGAGCCACCTCCATGACCAAACCGATGAGTCGCTCAGCGACCCCATTCTGCTGTGGGGAGTCCGGTAGGGTGAACGTCTGGGTGATGCCCTCCGCACGACAAAAGCGACCAAGGACACCTGAGGCAAACTCGCCACCACGGTCTGAGTGAAGACGCAAGACAGGGAGACCGCGGTGGACACGCGCAGAGACAAGCCAGGGGATGAGAGCGCCAGGCACGTCGGCCTTGCGCTCCAGGGGAAAGACTGTGGTGTAACGAGTGAAGTCGTCGACAAGCACAAGGAAGTAGCGCTCTCGACGCGGCCCAGGGACGGGGGCGGGGCCCCAGACGTCCAGGTGCAGGGTCTGCAGCGGCTCGGCGGTAGGGGGAAACGAGGAGGAGTGAGGGGCACGGCGAAGCCGACCCTCGACACAAGGCGTGCAAGGTGGGGCGGGGGAGGAGGGAAACGCGGGGAGAGAACCTGGGAGACCAAGGACAAGACCGTGCTGGGACATGTGACGCAGACGCGGGAGCGCAGGGTGACCTAGGCAGTGGTGCCAAAGGAGGGTCGGGTGAGTGAGGGACCGACAGGAGCAGGCAGCAGCAACCTGGGTGAGCGCTCCAGCCGGGGGGGTCACGGTGTCCAGAGTGAACAGGCCGGACACCGGGTCCCGGGGGAACGTGGACAGGGGGGCACCAGTGGCGGCCTCGGTACAGACAGCATACCGCTCGTGACCAGGGAACGTAGTGGTGACGCCAAGGTCCTGGAGGCAGCCGACACCAACTAGGTTTCTGGAGAACGAGGGGATATGCAGACCTGTGAGAGTGCCCGAAGGAACCGCCGGACAGGGAAGGGTGGTGGAACTGCGGGCGACTACCGGACCGCCGGAGGGGTCAGCAAGAGAAACGGCAGCAGGAACAGGAAGCGGCGTCAGGGTGGTGGAGTCGCGGAAGAAACACCGAGAAGCGCCAGAGTCCAAGGTGAAGGAAAGCGAAGCAGAGGCGTCTGGCGACGGAACGACGGCGGAAGCACCAAGACTACACAAAGCAGAGGATCCTACGCCTGACGCAGCAGGGGAGGCTACGCTAGGCACACCTACACTAGGCAACAGTGAGTAATAAGCTGGAAGCACACTAGAGTCATCAGCATACATCACATGCAGAGCAGAAACAATGGCATCCATGTCCATATCAAAGATCTGAATCTTACGACTAAGCAAACTGTGCCAGTCCGGGAGGTCTGGCGACGGGCCGAAGCGCTGACGAAAGAGGTCGTCCAGGCGACG